GTTTTCTCATTAATAAAATTGGGATAATACATGAGTCTAGCTCCAAGTGCTACTGTGAGCGCATTCAGCACTATCCACCTTGAGACTAGCAAACATTCCATGAAGGACAGAAGAGCTGAGATGAGGAGGATCATAACTATCCGTCTCAGAAGGGAGGGGGATGTGGGGCCTTCTCCCACCAGAGGAGGGACTACGTCTACAGCCGTCCCTACAGAAGGGAAAAAAAGGGTTGCATACACCAAAATGTTGAATCACCTTTGGGTGATTTGGGTGATGGAATTACAAGCAATTTCTGTTCTGTTCCTTTGTGCTTTTCTCCATTGAGTATGTGCAACTTACCAAAAAAAAAATTTATCCACACTTAAAAATCTGATCCATCACCTAGAAGCAGCATCTAGCACAAAGTTAATGCTCTATAAATATTCGCTAAATGAAGGAATTTCTACAGTGCATTTAGTTTTTCAAGAATGTTTATATGCACTCATTTTTTTGCTTCTCATAATCACTTCTTGGGTAGGTAGGGCAGGTTATTATTACCCCTAGAAAATGAGGCTGAGAGTTCAGAAATAACTAAATAGGGAATAGGCTGGAACTTAAAAGCTTCTAACTTCAAATTCAGAGTTTTCTTACTACACTAAGCACTAAAGGTGGACTCCTACTCACATTCCCAAGTCAGAGAGTTGAATCATTTGTACACAGAGGGAGCAAGCAAAGAAGAATAAAGAAACATAACTTTTTTAAAAAGTTTCATTAATCCTTTCATATAATGGGAAAAAAAAAATCTGAGTACTTAACTACCAAATCAAACTGTTCCAGAAAGCCTATGTAACCAGCAAAAACAGTAGGAGCTAACAGCCCCACTATGTGCCAGACACTGTTCTAAACACTTTACATATATTTATTTGTTTAATCCTCACTTTAATTCTATGAAAGAGATAACTACTGTCTCTATTTTACAGATGAGTAAACTAAAACACGTATAAGTTAAATAATTTGCCTAAGATTACACAGTTACTAAGATCCAGGTTTCAAATCTAGGCAGTTTTGAAAAAGTTAAGACCAAGGAGTCAAAAAACAAACAAAAACTTGGAAAAAGTAATGCTATATTTTATCTCAGTTCAAAGGCTATAATCCTTAACCTATGGGAAGAATAAAAGCATGCTCTTGATTATCTGAAATTCTAATAATTACAAGCAGTTATTTTCTCTTGTTAAATATCACTGTAAATCTGTACTATTAAAGTTATTTTAACTTTATAACAAAATTTATAACAAAATATTCCGCTTTCAATACAAGAACTTTACAGCAGTATTCTACAGTAAATGCTTCTTAGTTTCGTAAAACAAAAAGACTAAGACATTAGAGGTTTGTGGTGGTGGTTTTTTTTTTTTTTTTTTTTGGCAAAGAGCACATTTCAAAAGAAATACACCACCTCTCAAAATGACAACTCCAGCAAAAGACCACTACTAAGAAGTTCTCCTCTTAGCACTTCTCAAACCTAGCTACAACTTACAATCACATAGGGACCTTTTAAAAAACCAACACACAGCACCCACTCCATACCAACTAAATCAGAATATCTGGGTATGGGTAAAAGTGTTTTCAAAAGCTCCCCAAGTGTTCTAATGTGTAGCCAGGATGGAGAACCACTATTCTAAGAAAATCTAAACCCTCCATGTTGTTACCTTATACAGAGCTTTTGTCCATAATGATCTGAAAAAGTATTCAGTCATCTTGTTCAGCCAATTTGCAAACAACTGAGAGAGTAAGACAGACAGTACCCTTCAATTACTAAAAGGGGTATTAATTATAAGTGCACTGAGCCCAATAGATTAGACAAAAATCAAGGTAAAAGGATTCCAATGATAATGTTTTGGATAACAGAGTAACTTCAACTAGCATGTCAAATATGCCAATGACCAAGCTATTTCTATTTTTCAAATTCTTGATTTTACAATCTGTGAAACAGCACCATGCTTTCTGATGGACTCTAGAGCCCAATAATTCCAAAAGAGCAACAATGAAACAACTGTCAACCTTGAAACTCAAAGCCCCAAATGAGTTATCTTTTTAAAAAACTAAATAAAGACTACTTAAAACTGAAGGTTTACTTAAGGTTGTATAATGCTGGCAAAGAAAGTCTTTTCATGCCTTCATACAGAGGATACCCCTGAAAAGTTAAGATTGCCATAACAACTCTGAAATTCAAACTCAAGATGCTTACATTTTTGTATCTGACCACTTATAGTTTCACAGGAAAACTAAATAAGCTTCAAAACCAAATATTAAAATATCCTGTTATGTTATTCAAAATTACTACTACAGGTCCACATTTTTTGTTCAAAACCCTTGAGGACAGACATACTTCAAAATTTTTCAGATTTTAGAGAGACAGTACATTTCTACCCTAAGAAGCCTTTGAGGGTCTAAAACAGCACCAATAATCAAACAAATTAATATTCCAACAGCAAAATATGACTATTTTCTAAGTGAGATAAAGATTACAAGTAGCCTCCTGTCAGTCAAATTATTTTGCAGCAAACATTTGAAAAAAACTTTCCTTTTCAGAACTTTGGGTAAACCTGTAATTCAAGATTTCTCTTTGATATTCAAGACATTGCAACTGGACTTCAAAAAAAAGTCACTATGATAAAAACATTCTTTAATACCACTGTGATGCTAAAGAAACAACTCAAGTTATTATGGTAGATACACAAAAAAAGTCCAAGTGGTGTCCACCAATTTTCATGATGCTTAGAAGAGCATTTAAGTGTCCACCTGAATTTTCATAATGTAATTTGGGGCAAGACCAAACAAATACATCAACATGTGCACATTTACTAAGGCAAGTACGAAGCAGAGAGCCAGAGGCAAAGAAGGGCATAATCAACACCTAACTTTCTATCTAGCGCTATGGAAACAACACAGGGCTTTGAAGCTAAGCAGACCAGGCTCCACCACACAGGAAAGTTACTTAAGCTCTCTAAACTCCAGTTTCTTCATGCAAGTATGGAGACGATAATAGAAGAACCTACTTCATTGTATTTTTAAGGGGATTAAATAAAGTAACATTTGAAGTCCCTGACATAAATAGCCAATATTAATTCCCTACCACTAACTATGTGCTGAAGGAGCTCAAGTATAACTTGCCTATGATATAAGTTATGAGGCAAATTTTATAACACAAAACCCACCACGAAAATATGACTTTCAAATTTTAAAAATCCAGTGTACATTAAAATGACTAATTTCTAAAATCAAGACAGTTTCTCAAAACACATTCTAACCAAATCTACCTACTCTCCCAATACCCTTTGTCTTCCACACAACCAACTGCACACACAAATGGGTGATAAGTGAAAATAAACTACTATACTGAAAAGGGCACTCTTTTAACTCGAAACAAAATTACCAGAATATCCTAGGTTTTGCAGATAAGAGAAACCATTACAGTACTAAGACTTCATCACTTATATACCACCACTGTCCAAAGAACCCAGACAATTTAAATGCACTTAGAAAAAGACACAACAGTCCAAAATCCAATTTTCATAAACTATCCACTGAATAAGAAAACCGAATGAGAAATGGGCAGAAAAAACCGAATGAAAAAAATGGGCAGATTTTTGCACCTAATGAATATTTACACTTACTGTCAAATGTACAAAAAGATGGAATCCTTTATTATTATTTATCTTAAATTCAATTTTAGTTTCATTATATAACTCAAGAATTTTACAAAGCATTGAATCAGTCTTAAAGCATAATTTCTGAGCTGATTCAATGCCTCACTATTAAGCAATTTCCACAAAGTACAGTATATAACCTGAACAACCTAAACTTCCACCACACCCAACTTGAGAGAAGATATTTATCAAGTTAGCACAGCTCTTGTGAAAGAGAAAGCTTTCCCCAAAGGTCAACACTCAAAACCTAGTAATAGTTACTGTGAACCCTCCCATAAATAACCTATTAAGGACTTGCAGTTCCATAGCTTTAAGACTATCACCTGCCGTATGTCCTAACCGAGTGCAACCAACGGAATCCAAACATCACTCAAACATAAAACGCCTTGAAGAGAATCTATATTATTCTGTGTTCTAATCCGATGTTGTTTAATGTGAAAAGATTTAGAACTAAAAGCAAATGGACCAGCTACCTCACAACTACCTACGAGATGAACTACCTACAAGATTTAATCCTTCATACTTGCACTTTTTCCGCCATAAACAGGAAACTCCAAAGAAAAGGAAACAGAAAAGCCCACTTCTGCTAAGGGGAATAACGGCATTGCTTCCAACCCCCACAGCGTGAGTGAACAAATGAAAAGACAACGGGGGAAAGGGACGGGGGAGGGGCGGCTGGTGAGCTCAGCTGGAGTCCTCAACATGCCACCCAGCTCAGACGCTGCTCCAAACATCTGTAGCGACAGCTGCAACAGGGACACGGGGGTGAGGGGGGACGAGGACCGGGGCTTCGGGGCTCAGAGTTGTGCCTGCACGTTCGGCTTCCCCCGTGGCCAACTCTTCTCTCACCCCCAATTCCCATCCTCCCCATTCCATTCTGCTCCCTCCATAAGGAAAAATACCCAATGAAACCAGAGGCAGAGCAGACAAAGGGGCAGGAGGCGGCTGCGAGGAGCGTCCAGAACAATGGGGGAGAGGGTGCGAAGCCAAACTCCCGAGGAGGACAATGAAGGGGGTGGACAAGAGCCCGGAGAGGCACCGAGGGGAACACTGCGAGCCGGGCCCCGCCAGCGGCGGACGCCTGGACGCGAGGCCCCGCCGTGCGGGCGCTATCACCCGGGACGCGCGGGCTGGGCTGGGCCGGA